ACCACCATTCCCATGTCACAAAGCAACTGTGAAGAATTCACCCATGTATTTCTGTCAGCTGCAATGGGCATTATTACTATCCACACACACTGATGCGAAGGACTTACAAAAGCTATGCTTGAGCTGAAATTCTAAATACAAAAACACGATTATGAAAAAACCAGAAATATCTTAAGGATGATTTGCTGCAGAAGTCAGTGACTTTCTCAAGAACATTCAAAGAACAAAATCTATCAGGAGATGGTAAGTGGCAAATCCCGATTAGCTAAAATAATCAGCATTTCACTAAAAGGAAATACCCAGAGGAAAATAAAATTATTCTGGCTATTTTTTCCTTTCCAGTGAAATAACTTGTATGATTTATTCTCAGTTTGTTCCACTGGAGCAGAGGAGAGAGAGATAAATGAAAGACGGGAGCCATAATCCACGAGAGCACTCTCAGATTTCCACAGATAGTGAAATTTAACATTGACAGATATGACAGCAACTCATCGCAGAGTCTAAGCTCTGCTTTGGAATCAGGGACAGCACTAAAAAGAATAGGGATAAAGAACTCGTATCAGCCTTGGCTGGTAAGAGAGGCAAGGTGTAAAAATAGTCTGCAAGCATTGTAAACCAAGAAGAAAAAACCTCTGTAGCCACCTTCTTGCCATTTTACTCTTTGAATTGTTGCTGTTACAGCAGAGTGGAGTTTAAGTTTAGTATTAGCTACTACAGAATCCCCAGAATTATTTGTATAGCTGTACAGACCTAAAAGATCCACTGCACTGAACACGGAGGAGGCATCTGTACGGCTGGGGAACAAGCTCTTGACCTGGCTGGCCCATGCTCTGAATAAACTCCAGCTCCCCCCATGCAACCACATTTGGGGAACCAGTGTCACAGCCAGGACCCTCTCCAGCTGACTTGGGGTAACCAGCTGCTGCATGATCACATGGAACATATACTGTCCTCCATCACTGGTACCAACCTTAGCACCAAAGCATTTAAAGTCCTAAGAAGGAAATGCAGGCAAAGGTTACAGAGAGGAAAGCAGACATGGCGTGATGAAGTGGCTTCCCCTCATAAGCCGGTAATAAAACCAACAGTGCCTGAGTAGAACCCAAGAGGTACAAGATCACACACTCCCTGAGCAGGTCTGGTCAGATTCTTCTTACTTTGCTGCTTTTACTGATGGAAATAACATGCAAAGTGCTGCTACCCACATCTGACACCATGCATTGCATTACCTGCCCTTTGCACTAGCTAATTGCTCCTTTCTTTTAAAGGGACCCATTCTACAGGATCAGGGTCCCAGTTTTTGGATCATGAATTCCAGTTATTTGCACGATAACACAAAAGTGCTCCTGTGTTCAGAGATAACCGATCTAGGGAGATCTTGGACGAGTGGATGAGTGTTCAGGCCTGGCTCAGTGCTGCCCAGGATCATCAAGGCAATGCTGACAACATCACCACTTGATGAATTCAGGACTGTGTACACATTCCTATCACGGGGCCTTTAGTGCTATTAAGAACAGGGTAAAACCCCACAAAACCAGCCAATGCATACAACAGCTACATGTCCAACACTGTAGAGGTAGCACGTTGCTGTCTGTTGCTACAGCGCACACTTTCACATCATCCCCAAATCCAATTGACTATTCCAAGTAGCCACCCCCCACTTAAAATTGTTCTCGTCAATAAAAAGGGAACAGATGAGAAAATGCACAGAAGAGTCAAAACTTCATTTAGTAAATACTAGACAGATGAATAGGCAACATTCTAGAAATTGATAAACACTGATCTAGAGAAGGTATCTCCAGTGCTTTAGAGCATCCTGAAACAGATGACTGAAGGTCCTAACTAGTACTTTCAGTGTGTATGTATATATCTACATATATACACAAAATATTTCTGTTTATATACACACACTTAGTTGAAGTCAGATTTTTTTCACATACTTCTCAAGCTGAAGAGATTTCTTTTATCATTTTGCCGTGTTTTAACAATATATTCACTACAGAGCAGTTTCATAATTAAAAGCCTGTAATTAAACAAGATTAATTAAACATGAGATAAGCACAAATACTAAACAAACTACTTCAGAGAAAACCCAGAATCTGACCTACCAAAATGACTTCATATGCAATTTCACATGCTGTGAATTACTGTTTGTAGATAATTGCCTTGGCTGTCTCCTTAAAGTCAACCAACCACGTATTAAAGTTAAATCACATCAAACCAAAAAAAGACTTCCAGGCTGACTGGACTTACAGTTAAATGCATCCATTTTTTACATATCTCAGCATTAACGCACTACTGGTCCAAAATCATTTACCAGTGGGCCTTAATAATAAAGAATACTTCCAGTGTATTTCTGAAGCTAGCTTTCAACCCTCAAAATAAAAGATATTATTTTATCTAGAGATTTCTCCATAATTTATTTATTTCCTTCAAACTACTTCTCAGAGGATAATCCCAATCCAACTAGCTTTGTATGTTGTTGACTCTTAGATACATTTCCTAGAGTATTTTAACATGTTCTTGCTGTATGATACACTAGAAATAAAATTACTCATTTTTTGTAGGAAGGCTGCTTAACCAAATGAACAAAGAAAAGGCAACACTTAGCTCCTACAGGTAGTAATGGAAAATTTTAATTGCTTTTGGGATCTCTGGCATTATTCTTCCTAGCAGACAGGGTCAGACAAGCTTTGTATCCAGAACCATACATGCTATACTCCACAATGTCAAAGAATGAATAAAGTAATATGAAGGCAAGTTTATTGATCGCATTTCAAGAGATATCTATATTAATTTCAAAATGTCACAATTTCACAGCCAGCAGTGGGAACTGCAAATGCACCTGGGGAAGAGGGTCACACAATTCAGAAAGCTTTCACAAAAGGAGTGGAAGCCCTAGAAACATCAGAAAATGAAAAACTTCATTAACTTTTAATTGATCTCTTACATATAAATGTGAATACTTTTGATGAACCTATACAGACTGAGAATTTTGGTTCCCCGCACCCCTAGATTCCTGATGTACCAAAGCTGCAGAATGCAAACTATCTAGCCTGTTGGCCAAATAGAAAAACCAAACCCAACAACAAACCCCCTCACCACCACCCCACTGTCTCACCCCCAAAAAAAACCCACGAAAAAAAACTTTACTATTTCAACAAAAAATTTCTATTTATGGATGTTACCTATTTTTAGGTCTTTGAAAGTTCCCCTCTTCAACTACATGAATAGGTCTATCTGCATGCAGAGTAGAGATTTCCTAGACTGTTTTCTAACTTCACTTATAAGCATTTCAACGACAAATTTGTAGCTAGGAAGGTATGGAAATGACAGGTTTACATTTTTAGGACCTCTCTCTCTCAAGCAACAAGGGAACAGAAACTAGAGCAGGGATGAACTCCATCAGCAACAGAAACTGAAGTTCTAATTATAGTCTCCAAGGCAGATACTACAGAGGTAGCCGCCAAGACCTCTTTCATTAGTGAAGTAACCTCAAACTCTTTCAAGAAGTGTAATCTATCAAGACATATGGAAGAACAGAAGGTAATTTTAAGTAGCTGTAACAGACAGTTGCCTAATTTATTTATTTATTTTTAATTGAAAGACAAAATAATCTTTCCAAAAGGTTGATGTGTGTGGCAGAAGCTACCCAGAGAAGAACAAAAAAGTCCTGAAGTGAAAATGTAATATCCTCACAGACTTACACAGGTGTGTATACATGTATGTATCTATTTGTTATATGACATTTAAACCAACCTGCCAGGATTGTGACTTTAGAAACACTTGAGAACAAACTCTGCTCTTCGGAGATTTTTGATTACTATTGACTTCCAGAGCCAAAATTTCACTAACAGCATATACAGCATAGGCAGTGAGTAAAATGAACACAAACACAGGGTTCACTAATGAAGTTAATGGGGGAAGCACATACAACCTTTTTTTTTCCTTGTTTCCTGGTGCTATATGTAACTGTAATTTGAAGCTCAGTCAAATTATTGGCATGAGCCTATAGAGTCTGTAGAAATTTAAACTGTTTAAATGTAACATTACCTTTTTTCATACTGTGTATGTTCTAAGGTCATTAGTTGTTTTCTGAGCTACCTTGAAGTCCTGATGATAAATATTGAGGTTACTTTATTTTCCGCTCACTGGGCACCAAATTACGCTGCTTACTAAAGTTTGAAAAATGACTGTCAAGAAACAACAGTAACTGAGACGTGACTCCTATTTTCTATTTCTTCATTATGCAAATACTTTGAAAATTGAAAATATTGTATACGAGCTAAAAATAAATGGACTTGGTGATCAAAACCGTGCTTTGTAAGATGGGCTGCTGATGATCTAATATAAATATTGATGTAAAAGAGGAGGCAATGTTTTCCTTGTATCTAGACAACACTACCGTATCAGTTAGGAGTAGCCAATCCTTCCTATATATGCCTGTACAGCATGTTTTCTTCAATGTAAGAGATACCTGCTATATTCTCACTGACGTCTTAACAGCTGTAGTACCATCCACTACATCTGTGAGATGTTACTCCTTGTACAAGCTAAGTACAGGTAATGCCAGCTTGTAATTGCAGGCAAAATGTAATTGAACACGGCCTTTCATAAGGTTCTTAAACACTCAGACACGCAATCTTTTAAGCGTAACAAGCAGAGAGGCAATGTTTATCCACAAAAACCATTTTATTGGATGGCTTCAAACAATAATAACAGCTATTTTGTAAAGCTTCTGTAAATTACTAAAATTCCAGGAACAGAATTATGCTACACTAAACCATCACTGCAAAACAATCAACCATCATCAAATACATGTTTGAAACTGATGAAGTACCACCTCAAAATAATAAAACAACGCTCACAACAGTCTTCAAACAGCAATGAGCTCTCAGTCTCGACTGAGTCAATGCTACTGCTTTGCCTCAGCTATTGCTTCTACCCCTACTAGAGAGAGACTTTCTCCTTTTTATTACAATTATTGAAAGAACTCTTACCTCTCCATCTCATATTCTTTCATTCCTGGTTTTACTGCCTTCATTACCTGTAAGATACATATTAACATGGGACATTCATAGCAGGAGGAAATCTCATATTTATAAATTTATCACTTATGACCAAGTATCTCCAGAGGAACCTGTATTACAAAAATATCATCTGTATTTCATTTGAATTTACACCAGTAGGTGCATTTTAAAATGACATTAGAAATCAAACTCAATTTAATATTTAGAAATACTTGCAGCCTCTGGCAATAAAGCAAGTTTAATTTCCAAACGACTATATCTAATGAAGTACAGCTCATCAAAATATCGGTGCTTAATTCTGAAAGCTCTGGCGAACTTGGCAGCAAGTTCTTTTGTTTTACTTTATGAAACAGCAGCAAAACAAAACTGTGAACTGGAATATACTGCAATGGGAGATTTTCTTTTATACTTTGTAATCTGAATTAAGAGCAAACTACTAGAGTTAACACTGCTTTACAGCCCGTAAGTCTGATTGTTTTCTTACATTTGCTGAGAATGTGCACCAGTTTTATTCCTTTGTCTGTTCCTGTATTATACAGGTTGTAAGCAGCTGTTCTATGGAAGAAATTCTCTCAGATGTGATAAAAATTATACAAGGATGATGAAGGACCAATGAGAATGAACACAAATGACTATCCCTAGACTTTGCAATTTTACAATATTCACTTCACAGTTCCAAATTCTGAGGGGCAGAAGCAAAAACAGCAGTTGGGTCAGTAACCTCATCAGCTGCTTTTACCTGAGCTCCCTCCGGCCATCGCTCAGAACTCCCTGCATCACTATACAGAGTAAGAGATTGACAGCCAAGTTAATATTGTCACTGATACCATTAGAGCAATACTAGTACAGTACTAGGTTCAACCTGAGCAGCTGTGCTGAGAGCCTGGATTTGTCTTTGCCATGCTGCCATGTCAGCAGAACAGCATCATGAAACACTGTGCAGGGGGACACATCCATCTCTGAGGGGCAACCAGCGCAGGACTCCTTGCGCTGTTCTCCCTCCACTGTGCCTGGAAACGCTCCTTCAGTTTGTAAGGATCTGGAGAGAGTAACCTGCTAGTTAAACTTTACAGAGCTGCACATGCTGACATGGGCCAGAAGAATAATTTTATTGATCTCTTCTTTCTCCATCACTGTACAGTGCATACAGGACAGATAGATTGCAGGCGAGTCACCTTCTGCTGAGGCTCCACCTCTTATCCAAAACCACACTTCATTTCTCGCACATCACAAATGCACCAGGGAGTTCAAGGACAATGCAAGGTATATTACTAGGCTGTAATACGAGGGATATTATCCTCTTATTTCTACCCAGCCTTTCCATTATTTTATTACTAAGCAATTCAGGGTTGCTGGGAACATTTTCTGAGTACCACTGCCACACTAAGAGCAAAAATTATTAACAGTAAAGGATCCATTACCTCTTTATGAGCTTCACTGGAGATTTTATTGGTGTAGCGCAGAACTTCCAACTCCATGTCTGTCTTAATCACACGACTTAAAGAAAAGTACAACAGATAGCAGGTTAGGTTGCAACTTCACAGCTTAAGAACACAAAATAAAAAAAATTCTGAAAATAATATGCATCACCTGTGGTAAGATTAGATCAAGTAAACCTCAGGAGCAAAGAGCTATTACAGAGTATTCATGACAGCAAAGTTTTGTTGGCATAGATTCACCATTAGCAAAACAACCTTACGACGGGAAGTCACAAGCATGTCAAACATCAGACTGCATTATTTTAATACTAATAAACAAGTGGTCTGACCAGCATTTTTTCAACTCATTCCAACGCGTCAGGAACAGAAGTAACATACTTCTGCATTTGTCATGGCTCAGACACTACTTCAAACGGAACATCTCTACAAGCATACTTGATTTACTTTTTAAATACAATTTGAAACTAGTTTACATAATGAAATTCCCAGAGCTCCAGAATTTCTATTCAGCACAATCCCAACTTCCACCTACTTGCAACAACTTGAGAGGCAAGGGGGAGGGGTGTGAAGAAATGCTATTTCTGTTTGGTATTAAAAAACCCCCAAAGATGAAATTCAGAAACCACAGCAGCAGTAATTACAGCCACGATGTCCATTCCCTGTCACAAGCTTATGGAAGAAAACACCCAACACAAACCAATCCCCCCAAAACCTCGTTGTGTTCTTCATGCCTCATGAGATACTGAATTTGCGTCTATTTATGAGCTCTGACACTCTGTTCTGAACTCAACTCAAAAATTTACCACTAAGCTCTTATCTACTTACACTGCTCTCTCCCATGTATTTAAATAAAAGCAGCTACTTAGTGTGACATGAACAGGAAAGCAGAGATAGCTCCATCCCTTCTATCAAAAATCACCTACTCTTTCCAGTGCTACACATACTGATTCCCTAATATTTCTCATGCCCATCTCAAAGGCAGCTGTGAAGTACACACTTAGTGGTTACAAAGAACAAAACTACATCTACTGAATTGCATGAAAATATTTAAATTGTATTTTCCAGATCCACTCCAGAGCTTGTAGCAGCTACAAAGTACCGTAACTGTTACATTCGAAACTGCCACCAAGACACCCCTTTTTTATTATAACATGCTCTTTACTCACACTGCTGTAGAAAACTATTTACTGTGTTTCTGCTCCTGTAGTTTGTTTTAATGAGCCCAGAAACAGGTTTCTCAGCCATCAGTGCCTCTGATGTGCGATAAGTGCATTTCCCACAGCCAGCGATTGCATTGCTCTGTGGCACAGCCGCTCCCCTTCAAACACAACTTCTCTGACAAGAGTAAAGGTACTTCTGCAAAAATGCTGGTATCAATCAAAACGCTCTTGCAAACAGAAACAGAGTAGAACAGAATGGATTGACGCTCTAAAGTCAACTGGAATATGACACAAAATAAGCACTGTGCGCATTGAGAATGAGAAGTACAAGGTTTTAAAATGCACACCGAGGCAAAAAAATTACACTGGGATGGTATAATCTGCTCACCATGGGTGAGGAAACAAACTTCTGCTTCTGCCTTTCAGCCAAGACATAAAGAACAGCAGCTCAAATATATTCATGTTAGAATGAGGTAGCAAAGGCTTACAGATTTTTCTCTTCTAATCCTGTTCTTTGGAAGACTGCATGTGCTAGCAGGATAATTTAATACTTGCTTGATGTGCCTTTATATTACTTTCAATATACAGTCCATATCCCTGAAAAATAGGTTGTTTCATAATTCAGTTGTGCAATCTATTTATTGGGATGTGCTAGTAATACAAGTTAGTAACTGCTCAACAGCAGGTGCAAAACAGTATTGGAACCTATTTTACTTGACTAGGTCATAAGGCTTCAGGGTCAAGGCATTTATTTTAGATGGTAACTTCTCAGGTATCTTTTTGCATATACAAACTCATGCCCAGCCTCAGACAGAGTTTTTTATGCAATGCACCACCTTCATTTACACAAGGTCGAGCACCGAAATGTGTTACAGAAAACGTTTAGTCATTCTAAGATCAAAAAACCACAACGCAACTGTTAACAGGGAAGAGAGGGAAGATACGCAATTGTGCAAGGGCCACCATCAACTTCACCCTCACCTGGATATTGAAAACCAAAAGTCACCGGGCTCCTATGCTGTCTGCAGTGGTGGTGTTGATAGAGTTCCCATCAGCATATTTGGTAGCAGAAGGGTGTGTATTTCACCACCTTCTCGCTGTTTTGATGGCATAAAAAGTAACACCCTCCCAAGCCAGCTTTAAAGTGCTGCTATTCAAGCACTGTGGTCAGCACATTAAGGCAGCCTTGTGGGTTGTCACACTGTTGTCATGATGCTTTTCCCCAAGATACGGCTAGGAAGAAAATCCCACCTTTATACATGAATGCAAACGTCAACGTTTTATTAAAAGCAGCTCTTGGACTAGTTACACACTCTGCATACATTCATTAATATTTTAATGGGAACAAATAATTTCCAGGCTCCAGCTAAAGCAATTGCAAAAATGTACAGATTCAGCATGTCACGCCGTTCTCAGATGAACAAACAAACCACTCAGTGCAATCAAGTTAAAATAGAAGCACAAATCTCCTACTGTCAGGATTGACCTGTAATTTTTAACTTTGTTGGTTTTTTTTTTCATTTTACCAATGTAAAATCATTTCTTCTACCTCACTCTCCTCTTTTACATACATTTTGTGCTTTTATTTGCACTTGTCATATGAGTAAGTGGTCTTTTCATGCATGTCAGTCATCCAACAGAAGAGAAAAGCTTTAAAATTGAGTATCATTTCAGTCCTAAAATTAAGTTTGAGCATTTTTAAGTGGCTGGCTATCAAATTTCATGCACAATCTATTTTCCATTATCAAGTGGTCAAGAGCATACAGAATTTGAGGCAATTATGAGGCTGAAACTTGCATAACTCAACTACATTTTCCTAAACCAGTGCTTTCCACAAAGTTACACAAATGTTTGTTTCGAATGTCACTGTTCCTGATCAGACCACCAGAAGTATTCGTTCCAGTTATCAGCTGTCTTGGTTTGCTGTTTTTGGTACACATGTGCAACCTTAATGGCTGCTTTCTGTAACACGTGTAGAAAACATCTGGGTACCGCTCCTCCCTGTCCTTCTGGAAACATCACGTTTACAGACCACCTGTAAGTATAGATGCTGCCCACATAGACTCCACAGCCCTGCTTTGTCTTCACCCTTTTTCCCCTCTGCTGTTACCTTTACACCTTTTATTAAAAGAATAAAAGTTGATACATTTATGCTCTACTGCAAGCTTTTGCATGAAAACTTTCTGACTGAATTAGCAACAAAGCCAGTAACTGTAGTACTGCACACATGCAAAGGAGAAGCATGGCAGTACAGTTCTGAAAGGCACCCGCACGAGCACCAAACACAGGAGTTCATCTTGAAACAGTTCAAAAAGATGTTGAGAGGTTTACAACATAAATAAAAAACCCTCTGAAAACACAAAAGGCGTATGCCCAGCTTTAAGATATTAACATACAGATCACTTGCCCCAAAGAAGCAAGTACAGATTTCCACCTGTAATGCAAAATACAGAATATATGGACTCTTCCACACATAACCATCAAATCCCACTTTCACTGAGGTTACAGAAGAATACAGTATATACAGGCAGAAAACAAGCTGTACATTACTAGATGTAATTGACAATTATGGCAGACAGACATTGGCACACTGCAGTAACAAAAGGTTATTTTGCCAAGTGTTAGTGTAGAAAAACTTCCTTCTGATTACTAGGGAGATAATTTGGACAAGTTTGGAGTTTGTCTTCTGTTAGATGACCTTTTCTTTGTAAAAGAGTGAAATGAATATTTAGCTTATAGAGTCAGTATCAAATTTGAAATGGGAGCCCTGAAATTTAAAATTAAATTGTTTAAATGTGTTTGGAAACACATTCACTCAATTAAAAAAAAAGTGAAAACATCCTCTGCAAACTGCTGAAATCCAGTCTAAGGTCAACTTCTTTTATCTTGAGTTTCATAGCAAGTCAGAAAATACTGAGATCTTGAAAAAGGATGAGTAAGCAACTGAGGCAACAGATCCTGAATCACAAACGCTTCGTCCCTTGTCAGTAGTGAACCATTTTCTCTGCATTTTATTAGAAGACTGTATAATACTAGATTTGCCTTTCATAGCTCACAGTTCTCCCCAGCTGGTTCAGAAAGCTCAGTCATTTCACCTCTTGCTGGCAGTTTTGACAGCATGGTATAGATCGGAGTATTTCTGACAAGTATCGTGGAAAACAGAGTAGTTCAGAGCTTGTTGAATTTGAAATTACATACATCCATGCAAGCATACCATTCAAATGAAGCAATTTCCTACCCTAGAATATGACCTCAAAAATTCATCTTCCTAACAGAAAAATATTCTTAATTATAAAAATATTATTGCTTTCCAAAGAAAGTTTCTTGGGCAATAGCTTGACATTGCAAGAAGATCTGTACTTTAGGAAGCTTTCATACACATAGCCTGTCATTTATGTCTCGATTTCACCAGACACTCAAATCCTAATAACGTTCTTTAACATACTTCTGACTTAAAATGAAAGCCACCAAACTCGATAAAACCTCTTGAAAGACTTTTGAATGCAAATCTGAACTTTGGCTTCACTTAGAATTCCTCTTCCTTGAAAGCCAGTGGAGGGAAGGTGCATACCAAGCATCTCTCCCCAGCGAGAGCACAGGGAGGACAAAATCAGAATTCCAGGCTGGCACTCAATTCACAGAAGAGATTCTCTCTGCACCAAAATGAGCAGCTCCAAGTGCTGCTTTTCTACTGCCTCCATGCTCCATCTATCTCAGCACATCCTCAGGGCATGAACCTCATGTTTGTCCATCCCTGAGCTTCCTGAAGAAGATTTAACCCCCCATTAACCCAAATCACAGAGGAGGAAAGCTTACCAGGTGACACCTTGGTAAGGTAGATGGAACCAGAATGAAAGCTAACTTGGGAACAGGCTTGTGGCCCTAATCCAAAGTGTTCTGCAGCTAAAATTGTCATCTCTCTCCTTGTAATGCTGCTGTATCTGCAGATCAAAGCTTGGAGGTTGGACCAGGCCCTCTTCAGGTCCCCTTTCTTGCCCCTTGACTTTCTCTGCTAAAAATACAAGAAGGCTGGCAAACAAGAGGAACACAAAAACAGCACTGTCAGGTCACTCTCTCCTCTGCTCCTCAAACAGCTTGTCAGGCCTCTGGGAGAATCCTCCTTGGCTGCTGGGCACACAATAATGAAGTGTCAGAGGCTGAAAGTTCCCAATGTCTTAAACAACAAACAACTCCACGCCCTACACCAAACCAACCAAGTAGAACTTGGAAGGAGCCACCTCTGCAGGAAAAGACAACTTTATGAAGGACTTCTAACTTGACTTACCCTTTCTATTGTTTTTGTAAGCAATGTAGCATGGCATCAAGGGTCTCAGAGCACGAGTGAACATTTCCAAATCTTCCCTATCTGTATCTGTAATAACAGGCACTTGGCTAATTAAACACTAATGGTATTAAACAAACAAACAAAACAACCAACCCAACAAATCAGATTTTACTAAGTTCCTTCTTTACGTAATTGTGTTTAATTTGTACATCTGAAAAGCATATCCCTATGCATCAATTTCTGAGCTTGTTCTGTCTACATTACTCAGGACTTTGCACCTCAAAGGCTGCATCAGCTCCTAAATTCAGACATCAATTCTATAAGATAACGTCTTTGTTTGGGAAAAGGAAGGATCCAAATTCTAGACTAACAGAATAGGCAAGATTTAAAAACTGGTGCAGTGAGCTTTCTCTGTTACAAAGCACTCACATTACCCCTTACACTCACCAGCAGGATTTGCAAGCAGAGTCCCACTACTACACATCTCCAGCTCCATCCAGGACTCAGTGACACATCATCTAAGTAAAGTTTCCCTTCTTTCCACGTTCCTTTTACAACTTCTTTGTGTCATGAAAAGTGCTTGTAACAACAGAAATGTGACCAACTGGTAATTCTACACATGCTGAAATCACATTGAAAACCATCCCCACAGTTTTCAAGCTGGCAATCAGATGTAGATGAAAACAGTAGAAGATTGTTCTCAGCATACGTGCTAATAATAAATACTGTAATTAATAATATGTAGTAGCATACAATACAATAAACTACAATAGTGGTACTCAGAGCGTATACTTTCCTGTTTGTACTTTAAGATTTTGAGCTTATCTGCCTTAACCAAGGATTTTCTTCCTCATTTCTAGATTAAAACACTCAAAAAGCTTAGAGAAAAACCTAATTCATTAACAAAAATCCACCATGTTGTTTCTTCAGTTAATTTCTTAAATGGAAAACTAGAAAGCCTCAGTTATGGAGCGGTCCTGAGGACAAAGTCAGCAATGCTGACCAGAAGAGAACTGGCAAAACGCAGCAGCTTTGCAAGCTACTAATGTACTTAGTCACACTCTCTAATTTTGTCTATTCTAGATAGGCTACAGCAGAATTCCCCTCGAATTACAAAGAATAGTTGCATGAATAATAATTCAACAAAATTAATGCTGTTAAAAGAAATCCTAGAGAAGTAATAACACCTTATTAAATATTACCTATTCCGACACAGTTTTCATCTACATTTGATTTTCGTTGCTAGAACATGAATTATCCTCAGTTCTTTTCCTATTCACACAAATTCACATCTACATGAATTTGACTTAAATCCTAACACATTCTATAAAAATGTATGTTCAAAGACAATGCTTAATAAATCTTGATAAATTCTTCACTTTTCAATGCTGTTACCTAACCGTGTTTTTACTTTTGTACATTATCTCCACCCCATAATGTGAAATTAGCTTAAAATTAAAATACAGTAAAGCAGGAGGCTTCTTCTGAGGTAATCTCTCTGAAGCAATTGTACAGAACATAAGCACGTTCAACAGTAGTCAAAGAGAAACATTTAATGCTACTCACCATTCTGCAATTTCAGGATGAAGGATTTTGTTGTTCACATTAAATCTACAAAAACCCAAAAAATACAAATATTAAAAAACAGCAGAGACTACAGATGCACATTTTTGGGTTTTTTTTAACTGTCTTCTCTAAGGATGTGAAAACTTGTGAAAGCAAACATTGTACTGGAATTCAGTAGAGATCAGTACCGATTCCAGGAGGGAGAACACATGGACATCTTCACTGTGCAAGCATTTAATTTTGAAATACACGAGATTAAATCAGGTCTGCAGTATTAAGAATGTGCAGAAACCAGAGTAAGGTATGTTCAAGACGTGTATAGTAAGCTTCTTTTGACAAAGATAAACTGTTATCAATTCACTGCTGAGAGTGTGGGTTGGACCAGATCGACCTCCAGAGGTCCCTTCAAAATTGTTCTGTGATTTTAACTTCGCTCCTTGCCTCCCTATACAGTGATGACACATCAAGCTGTAGCCCTATATGTTATGCCAAATTTCAGTGAAATTAAGCAGTGAATTGCTTATTTCATCCTTTGCTTTGCACCTTCCAAGTTGTGTGTGCACAGAACATGGCACATGATAAACAAGCTTGCTTAGAGGACTGTGAAAAGGAAAACAGCCTCTCCTTCTCCTTCCCAATCTACAGAAGAGGCAAAGCAAAAGCTTCCCCCTCACCTTGGCCTCCAACACTGAACTGGTTTTCTGTTTATTTTCAGTATTAGCAATTCATGTATTCCTGAAACTCTTTTGAGGCTCTCTAAACAGTAACATTACAGTGGCCAACAGAGTAAGAAGCTGAGTAATTAAGTGGCACACGAATGGATTTTCAAGCATTGTTCAAGGAGTTTTTTTGCTTACAATTTAACTGCCTAAGGAGTATTTGGCATCAAAGATATTTTTGTCTGACTCAGGATTGTTGGCTCTTCAGTTAGGGCATTTAAGAGAATTAAAATGCTCCAAGGCTCTCAACAGATCTTCAGAGGAATGTTGTAAGGCAACAATTCATTTTCCCACATTTTTGAAGAAAAAATTAAATCTATTCCAGGTTATTAACCATTCTTTATACCTCAGGAGGGACCAACTATAGCACAAATCCAATTAAGGAAAATATTTAGAAGTCACTACTAATTGTACCAGGGTCTTCCTGCATCCTCAGATAGCAGAAAAAAGCACTGTGTTTCTATTCTTTAAAAACATATGCTCATAAACTTATTAGGTGCAGGTTAATGGCTTTGTGTTCCTACTTCAAGACAGAAAACAACAACTTATCACAGCATTCAACAGGGACAAGTTGTATGGTATTCAGTGTTATGGGTATTAATCAGAAACCACTGGAAAAGCAACACAATACAAAAAGTCACAAGTCACAGAACAATGCATCATTATAGAATAAAGTTGGTCACTTGGAAACAAGGAAGTCTCATAAAACCAGAGAAAAAGGGTACCTTTTTCAATTTAATCACCACCAACAACTATTACCTGTGCATACCAATGCAGAAATAATTCTGGAATGGAGGAGTCAGTTAAATACAAATTTACACAGAAGAAAATATATGAATGGTAGAGTAAAATAAATCTGTAAAAATTCTATAAACCCAAAAGCCTGAGCTCCCTGCTTGGCTGGAGAGGGTACCAACTGACACCTCCACCAACAACCAAGACACAGACGAATCAAGCTGCAGCCACAGTAACAGCCACAAGGACTTCGAATAATTGTCATCAGTCAGACACAAAACAGATCAATGAAGGCAAGTGTAAGGAGACGCTGCAGAAAGCTGCAACACCAGTTCTGTGCAAATAAGACAAGTATAAACTATGGTTATTGTGAAGTAACACAAGAAAATAAAGGGCAGGGAAGGACAGGTACAGAAAGCAGCTGACTTCTCTCAAGAACCCGGCTCCCTTGAGCCACAAGCACAAATGGATGAAACCAAAAGCAAATAAAATAAGCCAAACAGTAAAACTATGAACCTCACAACAGAAGATTGTCTCTCATCTGAGCATTAAAAAAGGAAAAAAACCTGTACTCCAGCATAGGCTTATAATAGCTCAAATAATGCTCTTTCAGAAAAGCCATTTCAGCCAGGAGATGTACCATCTCTGTAGCAGTCCCTGGATTTTACCGTTCCTGGCCCTAAATGCTCTTCTTGAGCCATCTTTGTGCTGTCAGAAATGCAAGTTTTACTGGCTGGCACCACCCACTATACGACAGCTCCTTCAAATTCTAGTTGCTGTCGACTGAGAAAGCTAATTAAACACACAGAAAGGCAGTTGGATTGAAACAAGAGGGTGCTGGAGGGTGGAGAAGAGGCAGGAAGTCATCAGCTGAACAGCAGTCTTATTTCTCACCTGAAAGACAGACTTTCTGATATATTGTCAAGTATAAAACAAGATCTCACACCTCCGGGACACAGCATCAATTCAGATTTGGAAGAGCATCTGATCTATTGTCTGCAGCTTTTTCAAGGAAGCCAAGGATTAAGGATTGAACTGCCTCCACTCTGCTTAGCCCGTGACAGCTGTGGGTCCTGTGTGTGACCAACAGGGCCACCTGTTTATGACTGCTGAACTTCTAAAGACAATGACTCAAATTATGTTTCACTTTAGTTACCAACAAGGCAGCTGAACAAACCACATCCTAAAAGTTACTGGTTAAGTAACAAGCTCAAGGAGAAGAGCTTGTTGTCACCAACAGGAGTACACAATTCCTGTTTAATTCCTTAAGTAGTGCATGAAGTCCTACATAAAAATCACCCTACCTTGTTGTTCCAGCAAAGTTTTGAACCTGCTAGACAATAAACAACTTACTCTTAAAAAGCATCTACTGCCCTAATATTAATAGGATCATGTAGAGCAATCCATTTCTACATTTTCCTGCAATTTGCAAATTGACCATACTTGGATGATGAGATACGTGGTCTGAGGAAGAAATCAAATTGACACCTTGCCACAGTTGCAGTCTGTAACATATTAATACTCCCATTTAATCAACACAGAACTAAGATACACTACACTGAAAGGCATGTCCAAACTGATTTCATACTCAGTTGTCCTTTAACACGCGAGACAATTTCATTAGTTAAAAAAAAAAAGCTAGAAATCTACATCTCTTTTTTAACACTGTGTAATGAGACCCTTTTTATCAGTTTAACAAATACCCTTTGTCTGTATATAGCGATAAAAATTTAAAACATACTCATAGACAATGTTAGGATTTTCTACTTTTCTTCAACATGGACAGTCTTTCTCCTAACGACTGACTTCACTACACAACCAGGAAGAGGCCACTTAGATGGTCTTCGCTGTCATACCCAGTAAGTGCAGTTCTGAGGGAAAGGAATGCACTGAAAAACTTTAAACACCAGGTACAACTGTGTAAACTGTTCATCATGTACATCAATCAGTTCTGAGGATGAACAAAATAACCAACACAGCAAGCAAAGATTTATTCAACTGTGTTTTAAAGCATATAGCACACTGATGTTTATCAGTACAGGTTTAAAATCCATCTTCTGTATGGTGTCACATCATCTCAAAGCAGTTTTACAAATGCTACGTAACAACCACATGATGAGATTTTAAAAATTCCTGCACATTTTCCAGTCTGAAAATGGAGTCCATGAATTTGGAAAAACACCAGACCAAACTTGAACTAGCCTTTACTAGCAAACAAAAACATATTTCTAGGAAACAATGCATTAGAACTACTTTAGAAATGTGCCTTCTACACTTGAGCCATCTGAAGCAAGTGAGAGCAAGTCCTTTCTGCAGGATTCCTAACAGCTGTAAGTAAAGCTGACCTGAGGGGAGTTACCAGTCAACGGTCCAGGTCTCCTGTCCTAAATTCCTGTTCCAGACTGTCCCCACCACAGAAGTACACCACTACCCACCACTGAGCAGGGTGACATCCCAAGTACTGCCACTGTCCATTTTTACAGACTGCAGCAACATGCAAGCTTTTTTTAGTACAACATACTTTGCTATATGAGAGAGCTATACATAAACTAACGGAAACCATGACATAATTCATTATTATCGGTTCTACTATGAGCATAAAATCAAGTTTGATCATTGCTAGCAGAACAAAAATAACTTAGGGGTGATCTTCAGGGTGAGCATAGAAATAACCCATGACCACCACAGTCATTTTGTCTCAAATGACTATTACAGTGGAAAAAATTAATCAAATAGTTTAAGTAATTATGTTCCAGAAGAAGTTCAAAAGGTTCAAAAAGTAAGGCAGGGAAGCCACATCATTAGGGCAAGAAAAAGGCAGCTTCTGACAGGAGCAGATGAACAGCCTGCAAAGAGAGCAAGATTTTGCTTTTTCAGGAAATGATACATTATTTCTATTATTATCCATCACAAAGAAAAAAAAACCCCACACCAGGGCACAGTCAGTCTAGGAGAAAAAAGACAAATGGGAGCACGGGGAACACAAAAGGGCCCTAGCAAGCAAATACATCTTGGCTAGGTAGCCAGAAAACGGACGCAAACAACAACTCAGGAATAAAATACAGCACCACAGCTGGGGCAGAGCCTGGCTGAGCAGAAGACACCAGAGAGAGCCAGCAAAGCACAGTCACAAGCAGATGGGAGGAAGACACTGCTTGGTACAAACTCCATAGGTTTATTTGACCTGGAAGAAATCAATACATCTGAAATACATGCATTTCTACAAAGGAAACACTTGATAGGGGAAAGGTAGAGAATCAGGAAAGCAGGA